ACGCCGCAAAAACCCCAACTTTCACTAGGTAATCTCATCATCTCCCTTATGATTCTTTTGTGAATCTTGTTCATTTTCTTTGCTTAGTTTGGCTGCAAATGTTTTGGCTTTTTGCTCTCTGTTGTTGCCATGTGAGTTCGAGCTCTGTTCTTGGTTATGGGGTAGCTTTTGTTGTTTCTTTGGTTCCTTCGTTTAATGGTTTTTAAGCTTATTTGAGCACAATTGTTCTCAATTGAAGTGGGTTTTGTCTCGGTTGCTCAAAAGTTTCGAGCTTTGTTGATTGCTAGTGATAGATGCAGCTGCTTAATCAGATCAGTAAGACTGGACTTAGGCTTTGGTATTGATTTGCTTCTCCTGGGATTGTATAAAAGATTTTGCTTTGGCTACGAACACAAGTCTATGGCTTTGTCTTAGAATTCTATATTTGAATGCTTAGCTAATGGAGATCCAGATTTTTAGTTAGTTAAGAGGGGAAAATTCTTGGATTTTAGCAGATAGAAGTGCGTTTAGATTCAAAGTATTTGTGAGTACTCTAGTCTCTGTTAAGATTGTATCTTTGCTTGATGTACTCTACTTTCAATCTGAGTGTTTGTATATGCACTAGCTTGTATGTAGCATAGGTGTACTCACGGTCTTGCATACTCAGGTTCTTCATCGGGGAGTATCACCGGGGTTTTAACTTATTGGATACAATGTGAGATAAAAGTATGTTATCAGTTGTAGTGACTGTGGCTGAACCACATATGGAGCTCAATCAAGAAACTAAACAGTTGAATGGAGAGAAATTATCGCCAAAGAAAGAGCAGATTCCTGCGGGAGAACATGAAGAACATGGTCTTACCAGTGCTAATACAAGTGAGGGTACTGTTACTTCAGTTTCTGGTGGTGAGGAACTCGATGTTGATATTGTTGAATCTGATGAAAACAACATATCATCCACGGAGGAGGACCCGAACGCTACTGAATACTCAAGCTCGTTTTCTGACACTGCATCTGAAAATGCTGACATGTTGTGTAATGGATTAACTGAAGAAGCTGAGGTTGAATCTCATTATTGGGATGAAACCGATTTAGGACCTGCGTATGATTCATTTAGCAGCGTTTTTCATTTTAGGTGAGTTTTTCTGCGAAATCATTATCATTCCTTCTTTCAACTGTTCTTGATGTTTCATTGATTATCTTTCTCTGTCTCTTACGTGTAGGAAGAAAAAGCTAACAAATCACTGGAAGAGCTTTATCCGGCCACTGATGTGGAGATCCAAGTGGGTTGAGTTAAGGATTAGAGAACTAGAGTCTCGGGCATTAGAATATTCCAAAGAGCTTGAAACATATGATCAAGAAAAGCTTGGAGCTAATATTGATCCATCTTTGTTGGAAACTTGTGGCGAGGGGATTAAGTCGTTGCCTTTTTCTAATCCGTGTTACAGAAAAAGAGCAGCAAAGAGGAGAAGAAAACGTAAGAAGGTGGAAAGCACGGACGATATAACTTCATATATGTCCAATCACAACCTCTTCTCTTATATCGGTAAGCGACTGTAATATACTCTAACAGTATTAACTCCTTCACCATTTCATGCGTTGAGCATATCTTTCATATATGATACATTGTTGTGGTTTTTGTTGCAGAGACCAAGAGATTGAACTCAGATGGTATAGCATCGGCTGATGACTTTGGTGGTATGTTCATTTAGATTGTGATAGTTCCTCATTTTTCAAACCGTTAATGTTTTCATTGTATTGATTGTTCTTTCATGGGCAGTTGCGAAAGATCCACAGGATGATTCAAAGAACCGGGTAGATTTAGATGACGATGATTCACTTTTTTATCACCGAGAAGGGGATAGCGTCTTAGAAGAGGTTCTCTGGAAAATCGAGCTGGTACATTCGCAGGTTTATAGACTGAAAACCCAAGTTGATGTTGTGATGTCCAAGAACGCAGCAAGATTCTCCTCCTCTGAGAATCTGAGCCTTCTAGCTGCAAGTTCTGCGCCTAGCCCAACGGGTTCAGCTGGAGGAAATGGAGATGTGATCTCTATTGGAGCAATTTACAACTCTTCTCAGCATATGCCAGATTATGTTCTTGGAGACTTAGTTTTCTCATCTGAAGGAGTGATTTCGAGCTACGGAGATGCTTTTCATATTCCTGACATAATCGAAAGCACTGTTGGTCTTTTCGCCGATGCAGATGTTACATTACATCACCCCCAAATTGGAGATTCTTGTGAAGATGTAAGTTGTCTTTATCGCTTTTGGTTTATGAGTCAAGACATTTTCTTTACTGTTGTCTGATTCAAGTAGTTGCAGATTTTGGATAATATCTTGATTCGAAATGGAGTGGCTGAAGAAATGAATGCTGATTTGATGGAAGAAGATGAGAAAGCAGAGGAAGGTGAAGGAACTAGTGTGCCGCCATTGCAACAAATTCAAGAAACAGAACAAGATCAACAAGAAGAGAAATCTTTGGTACTACTAGGCGGTGAAGATTCGGTTCTTAGATCATGTTTAGCTTCAGAGATGCTTGTTGTTCCAAGGAACAAAAGGACAAGAGGTGGAGAACGTAAAGCGAGTTCTTGGTGCAAGAAACATCTCAGTGATCCTGAAAGCCAGTGATTGATGACAAAAAAAACTCAGTAAGCTTTTGATGCAACAGAGTCTCTCCTTAAATTATTTTCAAAGGAAAGAGCTTCAATGTCAAAGGAGGAGAAGAGATTTTGGCTTCCACACTTAGTGTTCGAGTGAAATGCCTCTTTGAATCTCTCTTAAATCACGACCGACCATTTCTACTTCGAAATCTTCTGTTTCTGAACATTTCTTTGTAGTTTTTTTTGT